CCCTTGCTCCCGGCTCGGCCCCACTTACCATCCCGCAATCCGGGGCTCAGCCCCTCCGCCGGGTCCTGACAGGAAAAAAGGGGCGGGGCCGCGATAAACGGCACCCTTTGCCAAGGACCAACAAGTCTATCTGATGCCATGGCAACCATCTTTCCTATTGGTTAAAGGCCTTGCGCGGGAGACCCGTTCTGTGTGCCGATTGGTCAAGATGCCTAGTAAGCGGATCCGGAAGAAACGGGACCTATTCAGCCTTCCATCGAGTTAATTGGCTGAAGCGATGTAACCAGAAAACCAATCGGAGGGGCCGGGGTTGGTGGGAGCTGTGGGGAGCGTTGGGAGGGGCCGGGGTTGGTGGGAGCTGTGGGGAGCGTTGGGAGGGGCCGGGGTTGGTGGGAGCTGTGGGGAGCGTTGGGAGGGGCCGGGGTTGGTGGGAGCTGTGGGGAGCGTTGGGAGGGGCCGGGGTTGGTGGGAGCTGTGGGGAGCGTTGGGAGGGGCCGGGGTTGGTGGGAGCTGTGGGGAGCGTTGGGAGGGGCCGGGGTTGGTGGGAGCTGTGGGGAGCGTTGGGAGGGGCCGGGGTTGGTGGGAGCTGTGGGGAGCGTTGGGAGGGGCCGGGGTTGGTGGGAGCTGTGGGGAGCGTTGGGAGGGGCCGGGGTTGGTGGGAGCTGTGGGGAGCGTTGGGAGGGGCCGGGGTTGGTGGGAGCTGTGGGGAGCGTTGGGAGGGGCCGGGGTTGGTGGGAGCTGTGGGGAGCGTTGGGAGGGGCCGGGGTTGGTGGGAGCTGTGGGGAGCGTTGGGAGGGGCCGGGGTTGGTGGGAGCTGTGGGGAGCGTTGGGAGGGGCCGGGGTTGGTGGGAGCTGTGGGGAGCGTTGGGAGGGGCCGGGGTTGGTGGGAGCTGTGGGGAGCGTTGGGAGGGGCCGGGGTTGGTGGGAGCTGTGGGGAGCGTTGGGAGGGGCCGGGGTTGGTGGGAGCTGTGGGGAGCGTTGGGAGGGGCCGGGGTTGGTGGGAGCTGTGGGGAGCGTTGGGAGGGGCCGGGGTTGGTGGGAGCTGTGGGGAGCGTTGGGAGGGGCCGGGGTTGGTGGGAGCTGTGGGGAGCGTTGGGAGGGGCCGGGGTTGGTGGGAGCTGTGGGGAGCGTTGGGAGGGGCCGGGGTTGGTGGGAGCTGTGGGGAGCGTTGGGAGGGGCCGGGGTTGGTGGGAGCTGTGGGGAGCGTTGGGAGGGGCCGGGGTTGGTGGGAGCTGTGGGGAGCGTTGGGAGGGGCCGGGGTTGGTGGGAGCTGTGGGGAGCGTTGGGAGGGGCCGGGGTTGGTGGGAGCTGTGGGGAGCGTTGGGAGGGGCCGGGGTTGGTGGGAGCTGTGGGGAGCGTTGGGAGGGGCCGGGGTTGGTGGGAGCTGTGGGGAGCGTTGGGAGGGGCCGGGGTTGGTGGGAGAGCTGTGGGGAGAGTTGGGAGGGGCCGGGATTGGTGGGGGCTGGGGGGAGAGTTGGGAGGGGCCGGGATTGGTGGGGGCTGGGGGGAGAGTTGGGAGGGGCCGGGATTGGTGGGGGCTGGGGGGAGAGTTGGGAGGGGCCGGGATTGGTGGGGGCTGGGGGGAGAGTTGGGAGGGGCCGGGATTGGTGGGGGCTGGGGGGAGAGTTGGGAGGGGCCGGGATTGGTGGGGGCTGGGGGGAGAGTTGGGAGGGGCCGGGATTGGTGGGGGCTGGGGGGAGAGTTGGGAGGGGCCGGGATTGGTGGGGGCTGGGGGGAGAGTTGGGAGGGGCCGGGATTGGTGGGGGCTGGGGGGAGAGTTGGGAGGGGCCGGGATTGGTGGGGGCTGGGGGGAGAGTTGGGAGGGGCCGGGATTGGTGGGGGCTGGGGGGAGAGTTGGGAGGGGCCGGGATTGGTGGGGGCTGGGGGGAGAGTTGGGAGGGGCCGGGATTGGTGGGGGCTGGGGGGAGAGTTGGGAGGGGCCGGGATTGGTGGGGGCTGGGGGGAGAGTTGGGAGGGGCCGGGATTGGTGGGGGCTGGGGGGAGAGTTGGGAGGGGCCGGGATTGGTGGGGGCTGGGGGGAGAGTTGGGAGGGGCCGGGATTGGTGGGGGCTGGGGGGAGAGTTGGGAGGGGCCGGGATTGGTGGGGGCTGGGGGGAGAGTTGGGAGGGGCCGGGATTGGTGGGGGCTGGGGGGAGAGTTGGGAGGGGCCGGGATTGGTGGGGGCTGGGGGGAGAGTTGGGAGGGGCCGGGATTGGTGGGGGCTGGGGGGAGAGTTGGGAGGGGCCGGGATTGGTGGGGGCTGGGGGGAGAGTTGGGAGGGGCCGGGATTGGTGGGGGCTGGGGGGAGAGTTGGGAGGGGCCGGGATTGGTGGGGGCTGGGGGGAGAGTTGGGAGGGGCCGGGATTGGTGGGGGCTGGGGGGAGAGTTGGGAGGGGCCGGGATTGGTGGGGGCTGGGGGGAGAGTTGGGAGGGGCCGGGATTGGTGGGGGCTGGGGGGAGAGTTGGGAGGGGCCGGGATTGGTGGGGGCTGGGGGGAGAGTTGGGAGGGGCCGGGATTGGTGGGGGCTGGGGGGAGAGTTGGGAGGGGCCGGGATTGGTGGGGGCTGGGGGGAGAGTTGGGAGGGGCCGGGATTGGTGGGGGCTGGGGGGAGAGTTGGGAGGGGCCGGGATTGGTGGGGGCTGGGGGGAGAGTTGGGAGGGGCCGGGATTGGTGGGGGCTGGGGGGAGAGTTGGGAGGGGCCGGGATTGGTGGGGGCTGGGGGGAGAGTTGGGAGGGGCCGGGATTGGTGGGGGCTGGGGGGAGAGTTGGGAGGGGCCGGGATTGGTGGGGGCTGGGGGGAGAGTTGGGAGGGGCCGGGATTGGTGGGGGCTGGGGGGAGAGTTGGGAGGGGCCGGGATTGGTGGGGGCTGGGGGGAGAGTTGGGAGGGGCCGGGATTGGTGGGGGCTGGGGGGAGAGTTGGGAGGGGCCGGGATTGGTGGGGGCTGGGGGGAGAGTTGGGAGGGGCCGGGATTGGTGGGGGCTGGGGGGAGAGTTGGGAGGGGCCGGGATTGGTGGGGGCTGGGGGGAGAGTTGGGAGGGGCCGGGATTGGTGGGGGCTGGGGGGAGAGTTGGGAGGGGCCGGGATTGGTGGGGGCTGGGGGGAGAGTTGGGAGGGGCCGGGATTGGTGGGGGCTGGGGGGAGAGTTGGGAGGGGCCGGGATTGGTGGGGGCTGGGGGGAGAGTTGGGAGGGGCCGGGATTGGTGGGGGCTGGGGGGAGAGTTGGGAGGGGCCGGGATTGGTGGGGGCTGGGGGGAGAGTTGGGAGGGGCCGGGATTGGTGGGGGCTGGGGGGAGAGTTGGGAGGGGCCGGGATTGGTGGGGGCTGGGGGGAGAGTTGGGAGGGGCCGGGATTGGTGGGGGCTGGGGGGAGAGTTGGGAGGGGCCGGGATTGGTGGGGGCTGGGGGGAGAGTTGGGAGGGGCCGGGATTGGTGGGGGCTGGGGGGAGAGTTGGGAGGGGCCGGGATTGGTGGGGGCTGGGGGGAGAGTTGGGAGGGGCCGGGATTGGTGGGGGCTGGGGGGAGAGTTGGGAGGGGCCGGGATTGGTGGGGGCTGGGGGGAGAGTTGGGAGGGGCCGGGATTGGTGGGGGCTGGGGGGAGAGTTGGGAGGGGCCGGGATTGGTGGGGGCTGGGGGGAGAGTTGGGAGGGGCCGGGATTGGTGGGGGCTGGGGGGAGAGTTGGGAGGGGCCGGGATTGGTGGGGGCTGGGGGGAGAGTTGGGAGGGGCCGGGATTGGTGGGGGCTGGGGGGAGAGTTGGGAGGGGCCGGGATTGGTGGGGGCTGGGGGGAGAGTTGGGAGGGGCCGGGATTGGTGGGGGCTGGGGGGAGAGTTGGGAGGGGCCGGGATTGGTGGGGGCTGGGGGGAGAGTTGGGAGGGGCCGGGATTGGTGGGGGCTGGGGGGAGAGTTGGGAGGGGCCGGGATTGGTGGGGGCTGGGGGGAGAGTTGGGAGGGGCCGGGATTGGTGGGGGCTGGGGGGAGAGTTGGGAGGGGGCCAGGGTTGGTGGGGGAGCTGTGGGGAGCGTTGGGAGGGGCCGGGGTTGGTGGGAGAGCTGTGGGGAGAGTTGGGCTGGGGTTGGTGGGAGAGCTGTGGGGAGAGTTGGGGGGGGGCCAGGGGTGGTGGGTGGGGGAGCTAGAGGAGAGTGGGGGTGGGGTTTCCTGAAGTTGGGTCAGGATAGACTTAGGTAGTTTCTAGTTTGGAGACTTATGGGCTGTGTCTGTCCTGTATAGGCGCCATTTTATTATGCATGGTGGGAGAAGTGGTGTCACTAGGCGAATTGTGAAGGCACAGAAATCTTTGATTTAAAATTCATTACTTCTTTTATGTGCTAAATCTCATAATATTTCAGGCCCATGCTTCAGTTTTTGAAGATTGGAGACTGACAATGCTGCCTGCAAAAATCTACTTGATAAAATTCTAATAGCTACTACCTTATCTTCAGTTTTTCCCTTGAGTCGTCTTTGGTTACACCTGCAAACCTCAGTTTGTTAATCATAACTGGTCTAGGGACAAACTGATATTTTTTCCTCCTCAGTTTGTAAACAAATAAGGTAAACTCCTAATTAGTTACATGACAGGCCCAATTCGTTACTATGTTCATTTGCTCCTGCAGTTGTCTCATTCGTTTTGTCTTTAAATTGTCTTTCTTCTGTCAGCACAGTGGGATCTTAATTCTAATTTGGGAGTTTGCACTACCCTTAGTATTAGAATTTTTTTATGTTATAATGTTTCAGTCCTGTCCTTGCCATTGGTTCCTCTACCTCTGGATATGCAGATGGTCTTCAACATGTCTGCAGTAGTTATTGAAGAGCAAAGTGTGACTTCTCCCAGAGTGGTGAAACTGAGGGTTGTGGGACTGTGAGAGAGTGTTGGGGTGGCTACAGGGCTGGGTAGAACTGAAAGGAAAGAATTGTAGGGGCAGAACCCAAACAATAAACTCACATCTGGGAGAAGAGGCAAGAATGGGAGTCAGAGATGCTGAAATGGCTTCCATTGTTTGGGGGTTAGGCCAGAGAATGGGGCCTGTAGAGGTAGGAGCAGGCAGGGATCCCTGCGATCCATCTGCAGTAGGGATGTTAGATATAGTTTATTTTACTAATCGTGTAGCTGCAATAATTTTTAGTGGTTACATGGTTATTAAAATGCTGCCCCCGGGGTGAAACAAGCAGCTACTGTGCTCCTGACTCCTCTCTTGGGAAGCCCCTTGCCCATCTCATGTTACTGCCTCTGTAACAGAAGCAGCAGCGCATGGTGACAGGTGGAGCAGCTACATGAGGGGAGCTGGTTTAAAAATTGGTTCTCTGCAGACCAGCTCCCACCTGTTGCCTTGCGCTGCTGTCTCTGATACAGAGGCAGTGGCATCCTTTGTGTGTGTGGGAGGGAGGGGGAGCAAGCTCCCCATGAACAGAGGCTGCTCCAGCATCTCATGGCAGCAGCAAGGGGAGCAGGTGCTTTTGGGGAGCTGGCTTTTAAGCCGGCTCCCCACGTGTACCAGCACCCACCTGCACTCCACAACCCCCAGTTCTCCTGCTGCGACCTTTAATGAGGATAATGCCTTATCCATTAGGCCACTGGAGGACCCAGTCCACCTCCCTAATTTCAGCTGTTGTCTTATTCTCCCTACTTTCAGCTGGTGCCAGCTCCAGTCCCCCAGGAAACTCATGGGATCCAGTGCCCATGGAGAGCCGGCTTAAAAACTGGCTCCTTCCAGTCACTGGCTCCTGCTTTCCCCCCTCTTCTGCTGCCTCTGGCTGCATGTAGTCATTTGGATTAACTGATAAGCCCAGTTTTATCGGTTAGTCCTTTAAATGACTATAGGCTAACATCCTTAATCTCCACTCCATCTCCTGAGTCTCAGTCCTTTCTTTCCTCCCCCATTTTCAAAGAAATTATGTTGCACAGTTGCTGAGGTGTTTGCATTATAGTTTCCAATTAGGAGATGGCATGGCAGTTTAAACAGGCTAAAATGAGAATGATTTGCTGATTAAGAGGTATTTTTTCCACAGATTCAATTACCTGAGATCTACATAAATCTCTTTGGAGTTCTGTCACTGTCATCTTTACATCAAATTGAATTGCAACTAATTTATATTTCTTATTTTAAAATATTGATTAGAGCGCCACTTTGTTGCTGAGAAGTTTTATTAAAAAAAGCCATTTTGTTTTTGTTGGACCAACACAAAAACTGTGCTGTCTCTACAAGGATCAGGCTAGCAAGTAAAATGTACAAGATTGATCCAGGTTACTCATCTGCAAGGTTCATAGAATCATAGAATCATAGAATAATAGGACTGGAAGGGACCTCAAGAGGCCATCGAGTCCAGCCCCCCGCCCTCAAGGCAGGACCAAGCTCCACCTACACCATCCCTGACAGATGTCTGTCTAACCTGTTCTTAAATATCTCCAGAGAGGGAGATTCCACCACCTCCCTTGGCAATTTATTCCAATATTTGACCACCCTGACAGTTAGGAATTTTTTCCTAATGTCCAATCTAAACCTCCCCTGCTGCACTTTAAGCCCATTACTCCTTGTCCTGTCCTCAGAAACCAAGAGGAACAATTTTTCTCCTTCCTCCTTGTGACACCCTTTTAGATATTTGAAAACCGCTATCATGTCCCCCCTTAATCTTCTTTTTTCCAAACTAAACAAGCCCAGTTCATGAAGCCTGGCTTCATAGGTTAATGTTATACAGGAAAAATCTGTGCCTTCCAGACAAAATGGCAGGTATTTAAATTCTTTGCACCACTCTAATTGATGAATTAGATGTAATATGTTAAAATATTAACATCTTTTTTTAAAGGGATTAGATTCGCAGTGAATCCTTCAAGAAATGGCCATTCAACTCAGACCAGTAAGTTCAAAGAAAATATTTTTTCTAAATTTTTGTAAGTATCACTTGTTTTTGTGGAGTTTCTTCAGAAGATAACAGGAAGAAAAATTGGCAATCTGTCCAGTGAAGTTAGGGACTGTTTGCCGCGCTGCTTGAATAATCACTTCAGATATTACTATCGGGGAAAGGAAACTAGAGTTATCACAGGATCTGTTTATAAAGTAATAGCTCTTGCAGCTTTAACAAGATTCAGGGATGTGCCTAATACACATTTAGGCTTCATCTACACAACAAAAACCCACGAGTTTGGAGATTCAAGTAGAGTAGAGTTGTAACTTGATAACAGTAATCCAAGCTTCTGTGCAGATGGGTAATTTTCTCTTTTTTTTTGTTTTTTGTTTTAAACCATGTCCCCAGAACTTTTTAGAGCAGGGGTAGACAAAATACATCCCACTGTTATACTTAAAAGAAGCACACGGGATCTTTTTCAGGGGGATAAGGCAACACACCGCATTTATTGATAATATAATAAAGTAGTATATGCAATTACACACACATCCTGCTGATGGAATAGTTACCAGTTTTTGCTTGACCCAAGTTATTGGCCAGTTAAGTTGAGTATGAAGGAGGAGCGGGGTCCTTGTCAGTCTGGACTGATGCTCCAAGTCATAGCAGGATGGAACCCGAAGAAACATACAAGACACCCCATCCTTTATAGGATTTTCCTTCCATGCGATTCTATGCATTTTGACTTGTCAGGCCTTAATCAGTTATCCAGTATCACAATCAGTCTTTCTGAGACATATGTCAATCTGGAAGTTGTTCTTGCAGTCATCTGATATCAGCATGCTGATGACCCCTGAAGGGTTGATGTCTTCCCGCGAAAGTTTATTTGGTTCCCTATCAAGCGGTGCTTGCCACTAACTTCAGGGTGTGTCAATCTGCCTCTGTCCAGTTTGAGTCTTCAGTGTGCTTTAGCTTAGTTGATCATTATTTGGTGCTTCTCAGTCTCCAGCCCCTCCTCTGACCATTTGGGCATGCAGAGGCCTTCACAGTTCTTTCTCCTAAAACATTCTCTCTCTCATTCGCATAAACAATACACTTACACAGTTGCAGTACAGAAAAAGGGTACTTTTAGTCACTTGAACAAAGTTACAGTCTCTCAACGTTAAACTTCTTTCTATCTATTACAAGGCCTTACCTAATATTAAAGCAAAAGGATGGAATGATGTTAACATCAGAACATGCTAACATCAAACAGAGCTGGAACTAACAAATAAAGCTGCCTGGCCTGTCTGAACCCTATATCTTGTATTTAAGTTTAATCCAAACCTTATGCTATAACATGCACACATTCATTATAACTAACTTATTACCTACAAAATTACAAGGCTACACCGCAGGCCAGATGCGGCTTGCCAAGCTGCATCCCATCCCCACACACCTCTCAGAGCATCCAGCTGCGGGAGCCATGTAGCTTTCTGTGTGCCACTGCAAATGCAGAGGGATGGGAGAGGCTTCACATGCTGCCTGCTCTGCAAGCAGGCAGCTCCCATTGGCTGGTTTCTGGCCAGTAGGAGCTGTATGATTGCGCTGGGGGCAGAGGTTAGCACACACACGTCTCCCCCCCCCCCCCCCCCCCCACCAGTGGTTCTCTGCTGACCTGTGGGTAGGCAGGTAGCTTGCCTGAGGCATCTGCTGGTCTGCTAGACAGGAGCTGCCTAGGTAAGGACTTCCTGGCCAGAGCCTGCTTCTGGAACCCCAGCCCTTCCCTCCTCCCAGCTTTCTGTCTCCCCTTGCACTCCTACCCCATATAACCTTAACCCAGACACTGCACCCCAATTGCATGCCCCAAGTAACAACCCAAATTCCTGCATCCCTTCTCTGTCATAATCCTCTCCTGTACCCATACCCACTTCCAGACCCTGCACCCCTGTCCCTGGTCACAACCCAAACCCCTGCTCCACCTGGTCCTAGGTCACTACCCCTTCCAAGACCGTTTACCCCCTCTTACATCCATCCTCCAGATCTACCTGCAACTATACCGTCTCCTGGACCCTGACCTCTCTCCCTACACCCCAGTCCTCTACCCCAAGCTCCCTTCTGCACTCAACCCGCATCCCAGACTCTCCACCACCTCCATTAATATGGAAGAATGCAGCTCTTGACCACTTACCAAATTCTTTGAATGTGCCCCCCATCTCAAATTATTGCCTTTCCCTGTTCTAGAGTTGTTGTAATTCTGGCACTCTTACGTTTAGAATAAATGCAGGAAGTTAAAATGGGGAAAAGACAAAATCAGATTTAGCTCATGTAACTTTTTGGGTGTTTGAACCTGTCTTAAGAGGAAATTCTGGCATGTTCACCTTCATGATTCTATTTATATCATTGCAGTGCTATACACAACCAGTTCAGAGATCCCTCCAGATAACTATTGGACTTTGATGTAACTGAGCAAGTCCAGTAGACTTTTCTCATGTCTGTTCTAATAGTGTGCAATGAGATCTCTTGTCTAAAGACAAAGTACTTAGAACCTCTTGAACAATCACCTGCCATAAGCACTTCACTGGGATAATTTTCCCCTTGAATTCTGTAGAAGATTTGCTGACGTGAGTGTTTTTGTGTAGTAACAATAGGCGCCAATCTATTTGTAACAGAGGATTCTTTGTGCAAAGTTTTTCTGCAAAGCCTTAGTTGCTCATTCTGTGTTGTTGCTTAGCAGAGAGGCCACCAGTCTTATTTCAGGCAGGTGGGTACTAAGGATGTTAAATATCGGTTAATTTGCTAGTTGAATAGTTGATGGAATTTCCATCAACTAGTCGATAGGCACTTCTGCATTCCTCCTTTGAAATGTGGAACTCCGCATGCAGCCCAGGCCAGTGAGAAGTCCCACTGACTGTGGGCTGCAGGCAGTGTGCCAGCTTTGAAATGTACAAGAGTTCCCAGTGGGGGCTCTTGTGCATTTCAAAGCAGAAGTGCCCTCATGGAGCCCGGGGTCAGTGGGGAACTCTGAGTCCCCCACTGTCCCCGGGCTCCGTGTTGCACTGCCGATTTGAAATGCAATGCGAAGCCAGCTGATCCCAGGCTCCGCGCGGCATTTCCGCGGAACCCGGCATCGGTTAGGGACTCCCCAGCTGACCATGGGTTCAGCATGGCATTTCCCCAGAATCCGAGGTCAGCTGGCATTTCAAAGCGGTGGTGGCACCGCACAGGTGATCCCAGTCTCAGCTGTGCGGTGCTGCCGCTTTTAAGTACCCCCTCTTCCACTCTCCCCCCTCTGCTGCCTCTATCTGATAGAGGCAGCAAGGGTGGAGGGGAGGGAATCAACTAGTCAACCGACTATCCGATCGGCATTTGCTTATTGGTTAGTCAACTGCTCCTTACATCCTTAGTGAGTACTCAAACAGGAGTGCCCCATGTTGACTCTGAGTAGTGGCTCCAATGAGATTGTCATTCCTAAGATCCTGTAGAGTTCAAGCCTGGGTTTACTTGTGAAGTCTGTCAGTATGTGTTTATGATACTTCTCTTTCCTTATTGCCTGTGCAGGCCTGTAAAAAATGCATCGTGATAGGTGGCTCAGGGTTCTTAGGCCAGCACATGGTGGAGAGGCTGCTGGAGAAAGGCTACACAGTCAGAGTGTTTGATATCCAAAAAGGTTTTGAGAACGATAAGGTGCAGTTTTTCCTGGGAGATCTCTGCAGTAAAAAGGTATAGTATGAATAGCTAGCTTTCTGTTATGGAACAAAAGTGAAATATGCAGACCAATCTTAGGATCTTGCAGAAACACATTCCCGAAGGTCATTGATTCCTTTTTATGATAATGTAATGTGTTCTTGGGAAGGTCAACGCTACAGCAGTATTTCCTGGAAGTACAGTCCTTTGCTTCTCTTTCAAAATGATCCCTATGAGAACCATCTTCATGAACCATCCTTGAGTATTTTAGCTTATATATGTACAAGAACAAGGCTTATATGTGTCTTCCACTATGGAGAGATGCAGACACAATGTGTCTTGGAAATAAATTGTTGTATATGTCTAAAAGAGGACACCTCCATGGGCTTAATGTACTCCTTCTAAGGGATGTACCATAAAGCTGGGCAGTAATGTTGGGATTTGGGGTTAAATTCTTGGAAAGGTTCCATGCTGAGGTTTTAACTCTTATTTGGGATACCCTTAGCCTTGTGCTTGCAGCTGAGTTAAATTGCTGCTGGCATGGCGAGTCTCCAAGCCTTAATAAGCCTCTGGATTTTTTTTCTTGGGGGCAGGTGAGGGATCAAATAAGGCTGCTTGCATAGCAGAGAGGTCTGGAGGTACAAGGGCAAGTATGTGTTCATATAACCTACACACTTTCCAAATGAGGAAAGTGCTCCTGTGTTTTCATTAGTGCCTTGTCTCATCTGTCTCCCTAGGACCTGCTCCCTGCTCTACAAGGTGTGACTGTGGCTTTTCACTGTGCTTCACCAGCACCTTCCAGTGACAACAGGGAACTATTTTACAAAGTGAATTTTATGGGGACCAAAACAGTCATTGAAGCCTGTAAAGAAGCTGGGGTTCAGGTAAGTGTATAAGGCTATAGAGCAATGACATCTTAAGAAATGTGAACTTAATTGCTCCAATAGTGATTGTAAGACAACTGCACTGATTCCCCCTAGTCTTTCCAACATTATGAGTTTTTTATGTCAATTTCTGCCTATTTAAATTCTCAAGCATTGGACAAATGAGAGAATTTATTTTTTGGTGTAGGGAGTTGGCAAATGTCATTGAGGAATCTTTGGTCATTATCTTTGAAAAGTCGTGGAGATTAGGAGAGATCCCAGATTATTGGAAAAAGGCAAATGTAGTGCCCATCTTCAAAAAAGGGAAGAAGGACGATCCAGGGAACTATAGACCGGTCAGTCTTACCTCTGTCCCTGGAAGAATCATGGAAGGGATCCTTAAGGAATCCATTTTGAGGCACTTGGAAGAGGGGAAAGTGATCAAGAATAGTCAGCATGGTATCACAAAGGGCAAGTCGTGCCTGATCAATCTGATTAGCTTCTATGATGAGGTAACTGGCTCTGTAGACATGGGACGGTAAGATGAATAGAAAGCTGGCTAGACTATCGGGCCCAGTGGGTCAACGTCAGGATGGTGGTCGGTTTCTAGCGGAGTGCCCCAAGATTTGGTTCTTGGACTGGTTTCGTTCAATATCTTTATTAATGACCTGATGAGTGGGAGGATTGCACCATCAGCAAGTTTGCAGATGACACTAAGTTAGGGGGAGAGGTAGATTGCTCCAGGGCAGAAGTAGGGTCCAGAGTGACTTAGACAAATTGGAGGTTCGGGCCACAAGAAATCTGATGAGGTTCAACAAGGACAAGTACAGAGTCCTGCACTTGGGACGGAAGAATCCCAAGCATTGTTACAGGCTGGGGACGAACCGGCTAAGTAGCAGTTCTGCAGAAAAGAACCTGGGGATTACAGTGGATGAGAAGCTGGATATAAGTCAACAGTGTGCCCTTGTAGCCAAGAAGGCTAATGGCATATTAGGTAGCATTAGGAGGAGCATTGCCAGTAGATCCAGAGATGTGATTATTCCCCTTTATTCAGCTCTGGTGAGACCACATCTACAGTATTGTGTCCAGTTCTGGGCCCCTCACTACGAAAAGGATGTGGACACATTAGAGAAGATCCAGCGGAGGGCAACCAAAATGATTAGGGGGCTGAAGCATATGACCTACAAGGAGAGGCTGAGGGAGTTGGGTCTGTTTAGTCTGCAGAAGCGAAGAGTGAGGGGGATTTGATAGCAGCTTTCAACTTCCTTAAGGGAGGTTCCAAAGAGGATGGAGAAAGGCTGTTCTCAGTAGTGACGGATGGCAGAACAATGATCTCAAGTTGCAGTGAGAGAGGTCCAGGTTGGATATTAGGAAAAAGTATTTCACTAGGAGAGTGGTGAAGCACTGGAAGTAGGGAAGTAGTGGAGTCTTCGTACATGCATCTGACGAAGTGGGTCTTTGCCCACGAAAGCTTATGCTCCTACACTTCAGTTAGTCTATAAGGTGCCACAGGACTCCTCATCGCTTTTCCATCCCTAGAGATTTTTAAGTCTCAGCTTGACAAAGCTCTGGCCGGGTTGATTTAGTTGGGATTGGTCCTGCCTTGGGCAGGGGCTGGACTTGATCACCTCCTGAGGTCTCTTCCAGCTCTATGGTTCTGTGATGTACCTGGGTCGTAACTCCCAGTCAGCAGGCCAGTAGGTTTCTCAGGCAGGCACTGTGAGAGTCTGTGAATAACTGCTAGCTTGACGGGGAGGGGTACTTCATGGACTCTGTGTTCTTTAAACAGGCAGGACCCATTGGCCGGAATCGAGTCAATGTGATTGTGCTGGGGATGGGGGCAGCACACAAAGCCTCTCTTTCCCCCAGGCTTACAGCTGTTCAAAGGCAAGTAGGGCTCCACAGCCAGCTTTTTTGAGCGGCATACAGGGGCTGGGAAGTCAGAGAGCATGCTTGAGGCTTCCTGCTAGCCTCTGGACTGGGTCCAGCAGCTTGGTGGTTTGTATTTTGGCCCTGGCTCTGTACTAAATAACTTCTCTCAAAATAGGTATTTTCTTATAAAAACTAACATACAGATGAATTGGGCTGGTCTCTAACTATGAGTTTGTCACGTCTTAGTTGGTGCCTGCAGCCTGGGTAGGAGCCTATTATCTGATTGTTTTCTTTTAATGTATATTAAAATAAATAATTCATAGAAATAAATACATTTTAGAATAGGCACATCCTCTGGTTTTTACAGCAATAGGGTGTCTGATGGAGTTCACTTATGAGTTTGAGGGTTTTATTACCTGTAATTTTCAAATTGCTTTCAATTAAAGCATCGCTAAAATCAAGTGCTGCATTCTTTGTAGAACTATCCTAGAAGAGGCTAATATTGTTCCTGCATCTGGACTTTTTTACAGCCTTTGTAAGCTGTATATCATTTGATTTATCTTATAATACCGTGGGTGGGCAACCTGCAACCCACTGGGGTTTTCACATGTGGCCCATGCACCCTTCTTCTGCCCCCTTCTCCCATGCCTCTTATGCACTGAGGGTCCTGTACTTAACCTACTCCTCCCCGTGTCCCAGAGCTTGAACACTCTAAATTGGCTGAAATGTGCTTGGGAGAGGAGGCAAGGGAGAGGCCAGGCAGGGATACGATATTGTAAAGTATGTGTAAATGTGATTTTATTATTTGAAGTTGATGACAGTTAAAGCATTTCTACATGTTTTAAAATATTCAGCATGTCATATATTAATATATTTAATCTTATTCTTGGGGTCAAGGTTAGTGCACATGACTGATTTCATCTCAGTGGGCTGCAAGATTGAAGGAGGCCGCGTATGCGGCCCACTCGCTAGCCTTGATTGCCCATCGCTGCTCTAATACATCACATTTCTTCTATAATCATTGTCAGAAACTGGTGTTAACCAGCAGTGCCAGTGTAGTCTTTGAGGGCACAGACATCAAGAATGGAACAGAAGACCTTCCTTATGCAAAGAGACCTGTTGACTACTACACAGAGACCAAGATCCTACAGGAGAAGGTACAAAGCACTGTACTGCAATACTGACACTTTGTACTTAAACTAGTGTTCCTTTTAATGGTGGTCCCCATGTGGATTCCAAATGCAGGTGTGCACATGTGCTATTTACCAGAATCAAAACTGTTCATAGTAGTGTCAGTTGACTTGCATATATGTTGGCCACATGGCATGTCCCAGGCTTTAAAACATTGCATGAATTGATGCTCCTCCGGTTTCCTTTTACCATTGTTTGTCCAGAATCCGAAGCCCTGTCCCTTAGTGCTCTTAGCTTGCTAAGAGAACTGCTGCTGTCCATTGTACATAGGTTTTTTTTCTCTCTTAGTTGGTTGTAGTATGCTTGTTTGTTCATTTAGTTAGCTATTTCCCCATGACTTCTCCCCTCTGGAGACTTTTTCCCCAGCTTGAGGACTTTTCTTAGAATTCTAGGGCTGGAAGAGACTTCAGGTGATCATTGAGTCCAGCCTCTCTCCCAAAACAGGATTAACCCTGACCAAATCATCCCAGCCAGGGCTTTGTCAAGCTGGGACTCAAAAACCTCTAGAGATGGAGATTCCACCACCTCCCTAGGTAACCTGTTCCAGTACTTCACCACCCTTCTAGTGAAATAGTTTTTCCTAATATCCAACCTAGACTTCCCCCTCTGTAACTTGGGACCATTGCTTCTTGTTCTGCCGTGTGTCACTACTTAGAACAGCCTCTCTCCATCCATTTTGGAACCTCCTTTCAGGAAGTTGAAGACAGCTATCAAATCTCTCCTCACTCTTCTCTTCTGCAGTCTAAATAAGCCCAAATCCCTTAGCCTCTCGTCATAGGTCATGGGCTCCAGCCCCCTCATCATTTTGGTTGCCCTCCGCTAGACTCTCTCCAATGCGTCCACATCCTTTCTATAGTGGGGGGCCCAGACCTGGATGTAATACTCCAAATGTGGCCTCACCAGTGCCGAATAAAGGGGAATAATAACTTCTTTAAATCTGCTTACAGTGCTCCTCATAATACTCCCTAATATGCCATTAGCCTTCTTGGCTACAAGGGCACACTGTTGACTCATATCCAGCTTCTCATTCACTGTAATCCCTAGGTCCTTTTCTGCCAGGCAGTCCCCAGCTTGTTACAATGCTTGGGATTTGTCTGCCCCAAGTGCAGGACTCTGCACTTGTTGTTGTTGAACCTCATCAGATTTCTTTTGGACCAATCTTCTCATTTTTCTAGGTCACTCTGGACCCATCCCTGCCCTCCAAGTATCTACTTCTCCTTCTAGGTTAGTGTCATCTGCAAACTCGCTGAGGGTGCAATCCATCCCTTCATCCAGGTCATTTATAAAGATAAACAAAACTGGCCCAAGAACCGATCCTTGGGGCACGCTGCTAGAAACCGATGGCCAACCTAACATTGAGCCGTTGATCATTACCCATTGGGCCTGACAAATCTAGCCAGCTTTCTATTCACCTTACAGTCTGTCTATCCAATCCATATTTCCTTAACTTGCTGGCAAGAATACTGTGGGAGACAGTATAAAAAGCTTTACTAAAATCAAGGTATATCACATCCACTGACTTTCCCATATCCATAGATCCAGTTACCTCATCATAGAAGCTAATCAGATTGGTCAGGCAGGATTTGCCGTTGATGAATCCATGTTGACTGTTCCTGATCACTTTTCCCTCAAGATGGGTTCAGATACTGTGCTTTGTGCTCGGGCTCCTTTTATGTGAGGGATGGACACCAACATTGCATTTGTTTTTTTGGTGAGGCTCATATTGCTGCACGCTGCAGTCTACACCCCATGTCAGGCTACCAGTAAGTCGGACCTCCTGAGCTGCAAGGTCTGCTCCTTTGCTGGCCATTAATTCTGCATTGCCAGCTACAAGGTCATCTTGGCCAAGTATGACTTCCTGTCATATTCCCGGTATGTAGATTTCCAGGCCTTCCTTCTCCCAGGGTACCTCTAGAGAGCGGTGATATTTTATCCCAAAATAACATTTTTACATCTTAACAACAAGCTTATTTCGAAATATATTTGAAATAACGGACTCTCCATTCTGATGTCCCCGTAAACCTTGTTCCTTGAGGATTAAGCGACTTGTCAAAATAGCAGTCTATTTCAAAATTTAATTTAGAAATAGACAATCTCGAAATAAGCTATGCAATTTATGTAGCTCGAATTGTGTAGCTTAGTTCGAGTTACAGTGTGTTGAATAGACATACCCCCAGAAAAGCAACAATGCATCTGATGCCAAGGGGCTGAAGGCAAGTTGGTGGCCAACATTGCTCTCCAGGACACGGCTGATGCTGTCAATACTGCATTTTGCTTGTTAGCATCCTGGCTTCTCTTCCTCTGGCACTCCTGATTTCAGTCCAGTGGCTTCCTGAAGGAGATCTAAACCCTTCTTGAGGACCTCCCTTTTGACAACCATGACCCAGAGGTAGATGGGGTAGTAGGTTTCTTTGTTGCAGATACTCATTCTGCCTCAGACCCTAAACTCTGGTCTGAGTGAGCAACAAATTAATCACAGGTACACCTTTTCATCTTAGTTAATATAAATTCTAATTTAGTAATGTGAACACCATATAATCATAACGTGCATGAATTATGCATGCAACCATAACTCTGTGACGAATATAATTATGCCTGCTCCTGTTTACTGTTTACAGCTTTTTAGCTGAAGCAAGCAGTTTTACATTACAAATTTCTTGAATCAGCAACTTACAATGGGGTGAAAGGAATTGTGACCATGAATATGTTTCAAAGCAGGTGGGAGGGAAGGGAAGAAGATAACATGCAGTTGTAGACAGAGTATTCATTAGAAGTTACATCCTAAGGTATGTATTTATTTATCCCAAGCAAGCAGGAAAGAAGGGATTAAAACATGTCTATAAATTAATATGGACAGTACCTGCCCGTGCTGTATTCCTGTCTCCATGGTGGCAATTATCCATCTCTCTTATTTAACTCTTACAAACTTATTGTTGGAGAGTGTACAGCTATGAAGTGGACTCCTGTGCCAATATCTCTTGCCTTTATTCCTGCACCCCTGCCTGTTGCCAACAGTCGTCCTCTTTCTGACCCTTCCCTGCCTACAAGGTCACATGCCAGCCTTACCGTTAACCATATTCTTAGTGCTGACCGAATTCTTCACAGTGCAATCCATGCACACAACAACCTTGCCACTTTGCCACTGCTTCTTCATCTGTCTCCAGCCTTCTCAACGTTCATTGAAGCAGCCGCCCTTTTGACACCTCCTCCAAGATCCAGGAACCTTCTCAACCCTTCTTGCCACTCCTGCAGGTAGTTTTCAGGGATTTCCTTACCCTTTTTGATCACATCAGGGGCAAGAAAACTACTGATTATATTACTATAAGAAGCACACACAATCTGTTTCCAGGGGATAAGGCAGTGTGCTGTATTTATTGAAAGTACAATTTAAGCATTAAAATCAGTATGTGCTTCCATTCTTTCTCTCACACCTCCTCCCCAAAAGGTTCTGTAGCTGGAACTTAGTTTGTAGTCCATAGCATTTCTTGGGAAACTCCAATGTGATGCATAATGAACCCAAAGTCCTCATGGCAATACACCTTTCTTTTACAGCAGTAAGTTGTGCCCTACTGTGTATTGCTGGAGTTAATCACAGTGTAGTCAAGGCTCTGGAAAAAATAATCCCAACTATACATACAAAATGATGGGGACTAATTGAGTGCCCCAATAGGGGGACCTGGGTCCACCAGGTCCAGACTCAGAGGCAATGAGTAGCAGATCGGTCTACCACTCCATTGGTGGGGAATCTGGCCAAAGCACTCTGAGTGTACCTGGGCGGGAGAGGCCGCTCCTGCACCCTCCCTCAGTTACTTCCTATCAGTGCTGCTGGGGCATCATCCCACGTAGCAGCTGGGTCTCCCAGGTCCCCGGCAGAGGTTTCTCCTGGGGCTCTGCTGGGGCCATGTAGCTGTAGTCTCTTAGAATTTCGATTTCCGCTGTCTGGGTCGTTGGCTGTTGCAGCTTGGGAGCTCTGGCTGGAGGTCTTCCCCTTCGCTGGCCAGTCCAGACTGAGCTGCTCTCTTGCCTTTTATGCTGTCCCAGCACTTTGAGCCTGCCCAGTCTGGTTGCACAGGGGCGGGACTTCCTCTGCACAAAGGGTTTTTACCCCTCCTCCCCTAGTGCAAGGTATGCACACCCTGTCACACTCCCACTTCGGATATCAAAAATCTGAGGTCTATTTCACTTTCAGGTTCTTAGTGCTGCAGGAATTGGTTGTTAAATATGGTGACGAACTGTTTACATGAATTAAAACCAAATGCTTGTAATTAGAATTTTTGGAAATATGGAAACATGCTCGAGTTTTATAAAGTCTTTAGCAGAATTTACAGTTGAATCCCAGTTTAAGTTGACAGTGTCCACTTAAGCAAAAGTGTTAGGCTTGCCTTTTTCCATTCTTTGAAAAATATCAGGAAAAAATGAGAGAATGTATTTGCTAACCAAAAATATCATCTGAGCATCTGTTCATTTGCAAATTCATCTGCCTTTTAGGTTGATGAGCTAATAGAGTAGGATGCCTATGAATACATTATCAGACAAATCTACGCCAATGTGTCCATAATTATGCCTTTTTGGGGCAAAGCAGTGGAAATATCCATACTTACTTGCACACACAACTTAGTACTTCGTAACAAAAAACATTAGATTTCTGCCAGCTGCTGGAATATGCTAAAATGTGATGTTTGGAAACTCCTAGTGGAACTTCAAACTAAACTAAGTCTGTATGTTGTTGCCTTGTGTTTTCAGTGGAGTGAAATGAAATTTTCTCAAAGGGTGGATTAAGGGAGCTAATGATGGAAAGCTTTCATTTACTGAAGACTTAGAGGATTTGAGTGGAGATATGATCTCTTCTTCTATTCCCCCACTACCTCAAAATGGATTAAGCAATGCAGTTCCAGGATTCCACTGTTCACCTATGGATATGATTCATTTGGTCCTCATTGAAAGAACCTATTCGGGTCTCTCCTTTTGCTCTGTGAAGTATGTCTGACAGTGAAACTAGATATGGCCTTGTCTGCTGCCTTCCGCCCCTTTCCTGCCAGGAAAAAAGGAGATCCAGGGGAAAAAGGCTCCCCAGTCAGAGTTAGGCATTAGCTCATATATTGAAGCTGGAGAGAGGTTTTCCGAAAAGATGCAGAGGCAGCATTTTTCTAATGAGAAGCAGTTCAATGGGATGATGCAATGAGGGCATTTCTAAGCCATTTGCTGGTCTCTTCAGTGTTTTTCAACTAACTCTTTTTGTCTCCCACAGGAAGTGCTAAATGCTAATGATCCAGATGAGAATTTCTTCACAATTGCCATTCGCCCTCATGGGATATTTGGTCCCAGGGACCTCCAGCTGGTTCCTATCCTCATTCAGGCAGCTAAGAGTGGCAAAATGAAGTTCATGATTGGGTGAGAGAGGTTCTGTCATCCTTATGGCTCATGGGAAATTTGATTTAAAAGTGACTCTCTCCTTTTGGAAGAGAATATTATTAAATCATGGTATCAAAGATGCGGATGGCACTTCTCCATTGTTCTCTCCAGGCAGAGTCTTTAACTTGCCCAAGAATTAGGCAGAATGTGTAATGTAAGTCCATCAACTTCTGCAGATAATCTACTCGGGAATCATTAAAAAAAATCAGGAAATAATGGGTTTTCTAGTTATCCTACCACAGCTTTGACCCAGGACTCATTTTAAAGAAATCATTTTTGTGAGGGATGTTGATTTTAAGATGAGTTTGTCTCCTGTTTGAACAGACTGCATCACTTGAGCTGTCTATGAACAATCTAGAACAAATCTCTCTCCTAATTTTTTTTCCTGTGCCCAGTAGTTCAAAGCTGACTGGTCACACATTGAGCATGGTTCAGTTATGTTCATCTGTAATATGCAACAGGATACAACAGAGAATGGATTGTTACAATAACTTACCTAGTGTTATACAATTATTGCATTCAACCATCTTATTGAGATTTCAAAACTTAAATTGTGCTTTGATATTCATATAGATGATAATAATAAGTTAAACTTTGCTTCCTCATTGCAAGTGGCACAACTTGTAGTGTGGAATTTAAAATTTAGAGCAAAAAGTATGACTAGCCTACTAGGTTTTGTTTAAGACTCATGTATTGTGATTTTAAAAATAATTTTGCAATCTAGTTTATAATAGATTTAATTACATACTGGGCGGGATAGATGTATTTGAGAGAGAGAGAAGTATCTAGTGTTGCTTTTGTGTTAGCTTGAACATCTGCTATCAGTCAAACTTGCCTTCTCAGGCTATCTTATGAATCCAAATAAATGCAAGCTTCCTTATCTTACATTACCAAAACAATTCTGGTATAGTCTTGACTATCTTCAGTCAGAAAAGTATTGACTCTGTGGAACTAGAAACACTTATATATTTCCTTCAAGTCAGGACTGTTTTCTCTTCTATCTTTGTATGACCCATCAGAGCCACAATCACTGAAAATTATGAATTATAAAGTTTGTTTCACAACAACTTGCTTTTAAGGATAAGGTGAGGGAGAGTATATCTGACAATCCGATTGTTAATTTAATTAGTCTTTAAGTGAAATGAGCACATTGGGTTTAAATTCAGCTCAGATGTAAGCAGGTGAAGATCCCCTTCATTTTGGCCAGTGCTAACTATGAACAAAATTTAAATTTCATGAGCCAAGCAAATTCATAATTGAGCAGAAAGTTTGTCCTTGAAATGACTCCTTGTGTAGTAGAACTAATATGGTTATTTTATCTGCTTCTGTAGATTGTTCCACTGATGTTATATGATCCCCTGGTCCCAGAATCTTCAGATTTCAATTAGGCGTGACTGCAGGTTTTGAAGGCTTGCCTGAACAGGAGCTGGGATAGTGCCAGGCTTGCTCTGCTCTCCTGATCAATGATTTACGCTTTGACTACACTAGCACTTTTGTCAGTCAGGGATGTGAGAGAAACACGCAGCCCAACCAACAAAAATTTCACTGACAAAAGTACTGGTGTGGATAGTGCTATGTTGGTGGGAGGTGCTCTCACAGTGACACAGTTCCTGCCTCTCATTGGGAGCTGGTTTATGCTGGCAGGAGAGCTCTCCCATCAGCATAGAGCAGCTATGTGGGAAGACATTACAGTGATGTAGCTACAAGTGGTATAGCTTTGTCACTATAAGGTCCATAATGTAGACAGTAACTTAGAGATTTCATGTTCAGAAAGGGATTGGTCTGAAACAGCACTTTGTCTTGATGTTGGGGGAACAGGTAGCTAGGAGCTATGTCACTTGCTGATTTTTAGCTACCTTGTACATTTGAGACCCTTTTTTTTCTTTTGTATATGTAGGGATGGGAAGAACTTGGTAGACTTTACCTTTGTGGAAAATGTGGTCCATGGGCACTTATTAGCTGCAGAGCATCTTCATAAAGACTCTCCCCTGTGTGGGAAGGTAAGATGGTCTCCCTGTTGCATATGGCAAAACTGGATGTCAGAGGTTTCATTTCTTTGTTTCTCCTTTGTTTCACACACACTTTATACCCCTAGGGTTTTTTTTTAAGTGCTGTGGAGGATATTTTTATCATGGAGGAATGTGACTGCACTAACTAGAATAAAGCCTAGTATAAAAAAGTGCTGTGTAAGCTTCCTTCAGATTCTATGTCCTCGTCCCATATGTGCTGCTTTGCCGCACCCCTTGGTCAGGATTTATCTGGGGTTGAGATAGTGTGGTACCCTATCCACGTTCTGCCCGCACTTCTGAAATAGCTGCATGTTTCTGTGAATAGGATTGGCAATAAAATGCTAACATTGAAATGTTGGTTCCAATAGGAAATTAACTTTGAAGATCAATGGAGGTAGTTCACATCTCTTAGCTATTTTTTTTTTCTGCAGATTCATTCAGTTGTCTGTGCATCTTGTAAAAGCACCTTTGTAACTATAGGAGCTAAAGACAGACGTAAACTTACTGCTTAGCTAAAGCTCAAAGCACTTAAATATAACTTAGCAGTTACAAAACATCAAGTCTAAAGCAGCAGAAATTCTCACGGTTATCTTTGTTCAGTGTTTAATTCTATAAACAATCACTAATAGTCTGAGATCTTATCTAAATTTAAATGCTATAGTGGCACAGCTACAGCGCTTCAGTGTAGACACATCCATGCCAACAGGAGGGTTGTCCCATCAGCATAGATAATCCACACTTCAAGAGGTGGTAGTGAGATCAGCAGAAGAATTCTTCTAAGCTTAAAGCTGTCTACGTGGGGATTTAGGTTGCTTTTTAACTATGCCACTTGGCAGTGTGAATTTTTCACTTCTGGTTTGCTGGGAGCAGTAGGTCCTCTTACTAAAGGAGGCACTTGTAGCTCCATAAGAAGCCATTTCCCTAGTACTAAGAATTATCAGAGCAAAGCCAGGGGTGTTAGTCTTCTCAGCAGTAAAATGAAAACTGGGGCTTTATAAAAATGTATCCAAAACCACACTGGTTTTTTTTATTTGTTTGTTCTTTCTTTCAGGCATTTCACATCACAAACGATGAGCCAGTACCTTTCTGGTCATTCATGTCCCGTATCTTAACTGGCTTGAATTATGATGCACCCAAATACCAAATACCCTATATGGTGGCATATTATTTAGCTCTCTTACTATCTCTGGTGCTGCTGCTGCTGAGTCCACTCATCAAGATTAAACCTACCTTCACTCCCATGCGGGTAGCATTAGCTGGAACATACCATTACTACAGCTGCGAGAGGGCCAAAAGGGACATGGGCTACAAGCCGGTGGTGAGCCTGGATGAAGCAATAGAGAGGACTATCCAGAGCTATTCCCATCTACACCAAGCCAAGTAAGGAGACCCAAAGAAATCCCTCTAGCTAACAGATTTAACAAGGACTTTGAAGAGACCCTAATTCTCTGGACAGATAAACTTTTCCTCGGGCCTCTCCTAGGGATAATGTGTTTCTCTGGACTGAAGGATTTCATCCTGTTGCTGTACTAAGAGTCCATATCTCCCTTGTCATTACTGTGATGTGACCACCTGTTCCAATTGCTACTAGATTTCAATAAACACCCTAATATTTCCTCCTAAAATAGTAAGCTAGCACTTCCTCATACTATCTTTTGCTTGTTCTACTTGTGTCATATTTTGTTGCTCTGGTCTTTCCAGTCTTTCTTAATGGCTGTGGATTGAGTTCTCATGACAGGTTTCTCTCTCTCTGATCTTGATACTTGCCTCTAAAGCAGCATGCAATATTATAAAAGCTTATACCACTATCTGTTTTAAACCATGGAAGTTCTCTGAGGTGTGTATGTCTTTCTATGGCCCTAGGTTTATTTGATCTGTTGCCATGAGCCAAAGCAGGAAATTCTGAGATACCTGAACTGTGGCCATGTGAAGTTCCTCTGCTGGGCTCACTAGCCCTTTCTAAACACTTTTTTTAAGGCATCCTTGTAGCTTTGAACTAGAATCCCACTGGCTACGTCTACATTGGCCCCTTTTCCGGAAGGGGCATGGTAATTTTTGAAATCGCAATAGGGAAATGCACGGGGGATTTAAATATCCCCCGCGGCATTTAAATAAAAATGTCCGCCGCTTTTTTCCGGCTTTTAGAAAAGCCGGAAAAGAGCGTCTACACTGGCCCCGATCCTCCGGAAAAAGCGCCCTTTTCTGGAGGATCTTATTCCTACTTATTCAAAGGGCTTTTTTTCCGGAGGATCGGGGCCAGTGTAGACGCTCTTTTTCGGCTTTTCTAAAAGCTGGAAAAAAGCGGCGGACATTTTTATTTAAATGCCGCGGGGGATATTTAAATCCCCCGCGCATTTCCCTATTGCGATTTCAAAAATTACCATGCCCCTTCCGGAAAAGGGGCCAATGTAGACGAGCCCACTTTGTTTAGAAATAACATGAATAAATTAAAGCAATGGCAGCTTCATAAGTGTTGCCTCTTTAAAAAGCAGTCTCCATTATGAACATGTCAGTGTGAGCAGAGTTTACACTTGAGGGAGTTGTAATTACTCCCATTCACTCTTTTAAAAATATCCTAGACCATTGTCACTTAGCATATGGTATCTGTTCTCTGTAATGATGTCAGTGAGTGGTACAAAGGCAACATACATTCTATGGCAAGTTTTAGGTACATTTAGCAGTAGAGCCCTAGTAGTCTGACAGTGCTACAGATGAAAGAATCTCCTGCAGCTTTCTGTCTCTAAATTAATTCCCACTCCCCCATGAGAAAATGGATATTCTAATAATATTCTCTTCCTTGTGCTCTTTAGTTTGACAATCACATTCTTTTGACATTACACTGTAATCTTTAATTTTCCACTTTTGAGTTTAAAATGAGTCGTTGAAGTGGTGTGGAAGGAAGCTAGAGTTAGTGGGTGGGACTTTTGTCATTTGAAAGCTATGGGGGTCCTTCAGTTATGTTTGTACAGTTTCTAGCATAAGGAGACCATAGGCGCTAACTGTGCACAAATGATGGTGGGATAAGCAAATTAACTAGCTGTTAGTGAGTACAGGTTGGCCCTCCCTTGTCCAGAACTCTCAGGACTTGATTGGTCCCAGATGAGGGTTTTGCCAGACCAGGGGAGGGCATTTCTGGCACCCCTAATGCTTGTCCCCCCGGCATGCCCTCCTCCACCTCCCCTTCCCCCCCCCCCAACTTGTCTCCTGCCCTGCTGCCCCTGCCCTTTACCTGCTAAGCTGGGAAGCCCTGCTGCTGCGTACCAAGGTATGGCCCCACCAGGCAGCCATATTGTGAGGAGCCCAGCAGCCAGTCCTCCACTGGGATTCTATGATCCTGGCACATATGTTGCTGGACCAGAGATCCCAGTTTACAGAGTTTCAACCTGTAATAGTTAATGCTGCAGTTTGCCTTGCTAGAGTTTGAGATCCACACAAGAAGAGCTATTTTTCAAGGCTGCCAGCAGTTTTAGCAATGGAAAGTTCTTCAAGTGATTGCTCATGTGCATTCCAGTAGGTGTGTGCAAGTGGTATGTGCACGATCATTGGAGAATTTTTCCCTTCACGGTACCTGTTATGCTTAAAAGAAGCGCATGGGATTTCTATAGAGAAAAAGGCAATATGTTGCGTTTATGAATACAATAGAAAGTCAATTAGCATATGCTTACAGTAGACACACATGCACTGTGCCACCAATTGATGTTATATTTACCAGATTAGGGATGTGAGCGACTAGTTGACTACCCGATAAGCAAATGCTTATTGGGTAGTTGAATAGGACCTCAACTAGATGCATTTCCCCCCATTTACTGCTTCTATCAGAGAGGCAGCAAGGGTGGAGAGCTGAGCTGGTGCTGGGGGAAGGTTTAAAAGCCAGTTCCTCCTAACACCATCTCTGCGGGGGTGGAGAGCTGAGCTGGTGCTGGGGGAAGGTTTAAAAGCCAGTTCCTCCTAACACCATCTCTGCGGGGGGCAAGGGAGGCAGAGGGCAGCGGGGAAATGGCATGAGCCAGGGATTGAAACAGTCCTGTTTGGGCCGGTCAGACTGCTGGTCCTCTCCCTTTGAAGTGTATAAGAGCCGCCTGCAGCTCTTCTACATTTCAAAGGAAGAAGCCCAGAGAGGAACTTACACTAGTGGGGACTGCTGCCTCTCTCCCTTTGAAATGTACAAGAGCTGTGGGCAAAGGAAAACCCGGCCCCCCCCCCCCCCCATATCAGCTAAATGAGTATCAGTTACTCAATTAGCTGATTAATCAAAATTTATCACCCTTGTACCAGACCATGGTTTGTATCTCTCTGGTGGCCAACTAGAGGGGCTATGTTGGTCCGGACCAATGCCCAGTCCTGGCAGGACATACCCAAAAATTATGTCTAAGCAGTTCCTTTTTATAACAGTTTTCCTTCATTGGAGTCAGTTAGTTACAGCAAACTAATTGCCATTTGATGAGTACTTGTTTTCTTAGTTTTTATATTACAGCTATTTTGTTCGAATTGATAGGTGCTTGCCTTATTTTTTAGAGTTATTAACCTGCCCTTCATCCACATCTTGATAGGAGTATATAGCAATCTCATGATGCTTTTATATTTGTCCTCTGCTTCTCCCTAGAACATCTGATTCGGTGATGGCTTTCACACTTATCTTCTAATATACATTCCTCATTTACACACACACAAAATGGGAGGGTTTTGTTACACAGACACAATATGAATATTTAAGCAGAAACATCAAATTACAATTTAAAGAAAACAGATGCTGCTCTCAAGAGGATCAAGATTACACAGCTGTTCTTGTGATGCCGCATGGCAGGCTGAGGAGGTGGCTGAGGATGCAGATCCCAGTGTGGACATTCTGACCTTCTCAGGACCATCCTGCATTATTGTTTTAATGATCAGCAGAACAATCGCAGACAATACCAGGTCACTTTGGCAAGCCCCTGCCTCAGCAAAGAGGAAGGAACCACTGCTATTTTGTTCCATCTAAGTGGTATGAATATCTTTAATACCATCCTTTCTCCCCGATTCCCTGGTTGTAGATGTTGCAAACCAGAGGGCTTGCTAGGGGTTCCACATCCTCTTAAGAATAGAGAAGCCAGAAAGATGGACTTATTTGGAGGGAGAGGTTTATTCTACTGAGGAGGCCTACAACTTAAAATTTCAAACCAGCAGGTCCTCATCAGCTGGGATGCTCACAGCACCTGTGCAGCTATTTCCAAATTTACAGAACTTTGCTCCCATCACTCTCCAGTCAGGAGTTCACTTCCCTGGTTGGAGGAAGGCAAACTCATGGTGGTTCTTTTGAGTGCTTGCTCATGTCCATTCCAATTAGGTGTATGCATGCTGTGTGCACAGATTCCAGAGCTTTTTCCCCTAGCAGTATCTGTTGGGCCAGCCAGGGAGCCCCCTGGAGTAGCGCTGGCATATCCACGCATATATACCCCTGCTGGCCCCTCGCCCCCTCAGTTCCTTCTTACCGCCCTGTGACAGTAGCTGGAGCATTATCAAGACTGTCAGTCTTCCCCTAGCTTGTGTATATTTTTTTTAATTTCTTAAGTGTGGTAGTTAGTAGCTACTTAGTCTGTGAAGAATACATATAAGAGAGCATTGTTCTCTTCTACGCCTCTCCCCGGCTGGGGAGGGAATGTCAGGGCCTCACGGCTTCAAGCTGTGCGTGTTCTGTTTGAAACCTATGCCCTGAAGGGACCAGCATGACTCCTGCGTAAAGCGTCTGGGCGAGTTCCTTGCACACAGATCTGTAAGATTTGTAAGAGTTTTAAGCTGCAGACAAGAAGAGAAGGAGATTTGAGGCTTAAGTGGCTACTTATGGAGTCTACCCTGCAACCACCAGCACCGGAAGGAGCCCAGTCGGTGCATAGCATTCCTTCACTACGGAAGGCGACCGCGGCACCATCTAAGCATAAGACCATGGCTAAGACTTCGTGGCATCAATCTCAGTCTCCAGTGCAGAGGAGAGACAGACAAGGCCAAAAAGTGTGCCCAAAGGAAGGGCACTTGGCTCCAAAGACTCCTAGGGAGCCCTGGGCACCGTCTAGGCACAGACATACCCCATGAGGGGAGAAGCTGAAGGAGCCCTCCAGGACCTTCAGCCGTCAACGCCAGAAACTTTTAAAGTGGCATGGGAGCTAATAGCGTTGACCTTCCCGGAACCGATGACCTCAGCACCGCAAGCGTCAGAGCCGTCATCTTTGACAAACCTAACCAACCTGGTGCCGGTGAGATCACTTGGACACTGGTCGGCACCGTTACCGGCACCAATGGTATCACTAGCACCGATACCATCACCGGTACCGGCACCAATATCGACCCTAGCACTGACCCCAGCACCGACTAGAACGTGGCCAACACAGGGAACGTCTAATATTCTGGCTTCCCTGGTACCACAGGGTCCGGGCATAGAGAGTATGACACAGATGTATGCAGCTCCAGTGTGGACTATGTTACCTCCTGCGCCGCTCACAACTCAGAGGAAAGCCGATGGCTATGGCTCAACATCAGAGGGAACAAATGTCAACTGCCCCTCCATGGTCAGCCTCAGACTACTCTTCCAAGTCAGAGGCAGAGTCGGTGAGGTCAGGGAGATCCTCGTATAGGTCGAGGTCCAGGCAATGCATGAAATGCACAGCAGGTGTAGCAGCATTACTGTGCAAACAAACATGCAGGTGTTTGTGCCTGAATGACTGGCTGATCACAGGCCATTCCAGATCAGAGATTGAGACACACATCTAGCTGATCAGAACAGCTTTCAGCAGCGTAGAACTTCTGAACAAGGCAAAACTCCATTCTGTCCCGGGTTCAGAAGATAGTTAAAAAGAGCGGTCTTGGACTCAGTCCAAGCCAGGGATTTTCTACCAGAGTCCAGATTTCAGGCCTTGAGCAACGACATCTACTGCCTCACGTGATTCCCTAACACTACAGCAAGGAACTGCCCTCAAACTTCTCAGATGCATGGTTGCTTGCACCTATGCAATTCAG